GGCCTGCTGACTGAACTCTTGCTTTTTGGTTGTGTTTTGGGTTTTACATTCATACATATACACCTCACCTTTCGCTCACACAGACATTGCAGACATACTGATTTACTGATAGACATATTAAATTGTATTTATTATTTTGGTATTTACTTAATTAAATTGTGTTAACAATTCACAGACTGTGTGGTCTCCGTCTTTGTCGCACTCTTTTGAGCCAGGTTGTGACAATACATACATATACTTATGTACTTATGATACTTTCCAATCTGCTTTCAACACTTTACCTTTTTTCATCTGCTGAAAGTGGAAAGTTTCTCTGTGCTCACTGAACATCTGATCCCCCTGGGGCCCTAAGCTCAAACCTGACCCTCCAATAATCTAAGCTTCATGCCAGCTTTTATAAAAAACTTTGATGCATGTTAAAAAGCTTTTAGGCATTTTTTTTCAAAGAAATTGGGTTAGACGGTGAAATTATAAAAATTTTACTCAGGTGTCACTTAGATGTTTTTAGTTTCACCCATTAATTCAAAGTGTCCTCTGACTTACCTCTTTCAGACCTGATCTCAGTTTTATGATCTTTGGTTGGAGGATCAGAAAGACACAGAGACCTCCATCATGGCTATCGCTGACCAGCTGCTGGAGCTGATGTTCTCCTGGATCAAGCAGAGGGAACGCTGTGCAGAGAAGCTGAGGAAACTGGCCCAGGAGCTGGAGTCACACAGGGAGAATTGTAACGCTGCAGAATGTGTTGGAAACACAGTGTCAGTGGCTGGATCCTTATCTCTGATCGGGGCCGGTGTGGCCACTGTGTTCACCGGCGGTGCAGCTGCTCCACTTTTAGGCATAGCAGGAGCAGTATGTTCAGGTGTAGGTGTTACCGTATCTGTGGGTACTAAAATCACTGAGGGCTTCATATCCAGCGACACCATGAAAGAGGCACAGAAGATTGAAAAGAAGAGCAACGAAATTCAAGAAAAAATCAACCAACTGTTTAAGCAACTGAAGGCAGAGTGTTCCTCCACTGACCCAGAGGAAATGGACCAACACGTCATGACTGAAATTCTGAAAGCCATGGCCAGAAGAAATGGGTTAGAAGGGCACCTAATGGATTTCAAGAAGATTTTTGTTCCAGTAAAGAGCAACATAAACTATTTCAGTCTTGAAATTAAAGTTGCACTGGTA